CTAGGCAACCGAGTCCGCCCACCACCCTATCCTCTTCCACCTCTTTCGATCGCACCTCTCGCTCTCACCGCTCTCACTGCTCTCACCGCCATAATCGAGTGGAGCTTTGGCGTATCGCGACCCTAACTTGTTGTAACGAGCTGCTCTGGCTCCGACTCCGCTCTGAAAATCACTCGCTCGTCGACGGGACTACATGACTACCGTTAAGTCAGCCTCTTGATGCAGATAATGGATCACGCGTCGACAATATTTCCCACCATCTACGTATTGACTGAGCTGGATTATCATTAAATGCTTCAAGAGACTCGATAGCCTACTCCATCCTCGCGTGTTATCGTTTTATCGGCGAGGGCCACGTGACGGAGGCCGCGGGTCACTCACAACGAACAGGACAAGCTGCTTTAGCTCGGACACTGGACTTTTGCTCGTTTCATCATCTTTACGCGGGTATAAAGGAATTTACGAGCTTCGGTCGTGGCTATTCGCATTCTACGAAGGTCATTATAAAACGCAAATGAATCTAAAGCAATCGGTACGCGATGAAAGGGAGCGTCGAAACGTCGAGACGGGGCTTCGGGACTCATTGCGCGCGGCTTCGGCCTCGAATGAGAAAAAAAAATGTCTTTTTAAGTGTTCGCTCTGCCTTTTACGAGCTCTCGATGCTTTTCAACATTCACCTGAATGCATAAAGATTTCAATGGAGTCTCCTTCAGACCTTAATGCGGGCTCCTCCGAAAAATGGAATTAATGAAACTTGAAAAACAAACAAATGACAGGTCCTCTGGTAGTACCCATTCAGCGCCTCAGTATCAATATCCGTTAAGATTAGCGAACAATCGCGCAGAAGCTTATGCAATCACGATGCCGAGGAGAAAAAACGCATTCGAGGACAGTCGGGACGAGCTTCTGGCCGTCTGGAGCGAGGAAAGCCCGACGCCGTTTTGAGAGGAACAAGCTCCGTTGGCCCATCACTTAAACATTTAACGAGGCGCGTTGTTATCGTCCAGCCACCGATGTGTTTCTGATTAGTCCGTGTAACGCGCGAACTCGAATCATCCCGACCGCCCAAATTCAATGCTAACTACCTACGTAATTACACCCCCTCGTCCTCGTCCTCGTCCTCGTCCTCGTCCTCGTCCTCGTCCTCGTCCTCGTCCTCGTTCACCGTCTCGTCCTCGCGCTCGCATTAAGAAACGATTCGCTTGCGCGAGCGCCCGCTTAAATGTATAAAGTACGCCAGACGAGCAAATACTATCGGAAGATCAAAGGACCGACGAAGGATGGAATTTCACAGCGACGAGGGGAGCGAATTTTCGTGGAGCTTCGCCAACTCCGCGGCACATCGGCTCGGCCAAGTAAACAGCGTCGCGAGGAAAAATAACGCGCTACCCTAGGATTCGCTGACCCTCGGCGCCCTTTAACCCACGCCAGGTGGTCGATGAATCTTCGATTATGTTAAAAATACGAGCGGATGACGTTAATGGCTATCAAACCGGAATTTACGCGCGCGACAGACGCTGTCGACGTGCGACATGCAGATGCGCGTGAAATACGTCCCCTAGCATCTCTCGCCGATCGGTTGTCGAACTCATTACGCCCATTGCAAATGGATAAAGACGCGCGGAGGTGTATCCCGATACGCGCTCGATCGCCACTCTTTT